CGAAATGGAAAACCAATCTCCGCAATAATATTTCAGTGAATATTTAGAACATTTTTCACTCCTTTTTTTCTAAAAAATTTTTTAATCCTCACTCAAGGATATTTCTCCATTGATTTCTAGAGAGAGTAGAAGAGATAGAGAAAGACAGAGAGAAATATCAATGCGAAAGAAACATGTCCATTGGTTGCCTCCTGCATCACCCTGACCAGGGCCCAGGTTAGGGAGGAGCCTGCAATCAAAGTACATGCTCTTGACTAGAATTGAACCCACAACCCTTCGGTCTGCAGGCCGAAGCTCTATCCATTGAGCCACACCGGCCAGGGCCAGACCTTCTCATTAACCCATCAGCACACCCTGCTGACCTTCCCCCTCGCAGGGTTGGACTAACAGGGAGGCCAGTGACTATGACTGAGCCCAGAGACCTGCTTCTGTCCCCTTGACCACCCCCGGCCATGCGAGGTGGGAGGTCCTCTGCCCCCTGTGGGACATGGTTTCCTTGTCCTTAGGGGAGCTCTGTGCACGGGTCCCATTGTCCCCACACCTTCCCCCAGGGCTGAGAGCAAGGATGGCATCTGTGCCCCAAGCTCAGGGCGATGCTGGGGCAGAGCTGGGGCAGAGCTGGGGCCAGTTCTGGAGCCTGCTGGTCGCCCACCTACACGCCACTCCGCTTTCTCCTGGACCCCGAGGGTAGCTCAGGCTCCCTCCAAACCTGCTCCTGTGGGCCCTGCTGCCCGACCTGGCGGCACAGTCCTCAGAGGAGGCAGGGCTGCCACCTGGAGAAGAGTGCTGTGCCCGCCGTCTCTCTCACACACGCGCACACACATGCACGTGCACACACGCAGGCACATGCACACGCACATGCACGTGTGCACATGCACGCACACACATGGACACACACTCAGTGTGCGCTGGGTTCCCACAGAAGGCTGGGTGTGTGAACACTGGAGCAGCACGGGACCCAGCAGCAGGAGGTGTGGATAAGGGGCCAGTTTCCTGGCAGTGGGTTTGAATTCCCCAGGAATCCCTGACCCACTGCTGTGGTCACGTGGGAACCTGGGCTGATCAGAGAGGAGAGGAGGGGGAGCTGGTGTGGAGTGGCACTGTGCCACCCCGAGCGGAGCCCAAGAGACCTCCGCCTCACAGAGGTCCGTTTCATCGGGTCCGTGAACCCAGCGTACAGCGGTGCCGAAGGTACCAGAGGACATGCCGGCGTCCACCCATCCGGCGTCGGGTGTCACTAAATCAGTGGCTCCCGAGTAAACACTCTGCCCTCTCCACCACCCCACGGAGCCCCGGGACAGCGCAAGCACTTACATCTGCAGAAGCGGCGCTGCACTGCCCGCAAGGCTTCCAGCTTCTGTTCTCAGCACAACTGCCGACATCATGTGCCCAAGCCAGCGGGGCAGCTGCCAGCTCTGACCAATATAAACAAGAAGAGGTGCGGGTGCCAGGGCCGGAGTCGGCTTACACTGAGCCCATCTGGTTCAGGAAATTACATTCTGGACTAATAAGACCCTTCCCGCATCCCTTCTCATCTGACACTCAGAACTCATGTGCACATCACAGATCTTCACTCTGCTCCTCTGCGTCCTCTGCATGTTCTCCGTGGTCACAGTCCCCCCAGGAACGGAGAGCAGGACAGTTACACAGGCCTCCCTGTGGAACCGCCCTGTAAGAAGAGAGAAACCCCTTCCCAAAAGGGGGCTCGATGGATCCTCCAAGTCCCTGCAACCCCTCCAGGCCAAGTGTGGAGCTGCAGGGAAGGGGGCGGGGGCACCGGAGGAAGCAGAGGGCAGAGGAGCCAAATGGGAAAAGGGCCAGGGGGAGGGGGAGGTCCCCCATCGGTGTAAGTCTGAGGCCTGAGGAACAAGCGTCCAAGTTGCACACAACCCAGGCAGGGGTAGAAACCGCCATCCCCACCATCACACGTGCAAGCCACCCGGCATTCCCACACCCGATGCCCCTCCTCGGAGCCGGAGCTGGGAGACCGCACTGCAGCCCCAAGATTCAGCTCCAAAGAAGACGCCGAAAACAGCAAAGAACTAACTCCTGGCGAGGCGGCCGGGCGGTGCGGCGGGGGAG